CACGGCGGTGATCAGCGCTTATTCCTGTCGAAAGCGCGTACTTCAAAATATGTTTTATACCAAGACGCGTTTTAATAAATCACAGTGTTCCATGAAAGTTATTTGCTATATCTGTAAAATATATTTGAAGTTAACAGATATTAAAACAAAAACTAATAGTCAATTTTTCCAGGGGAGGCACTGCCTCCCCTGCCTCCCCTGACGAGCCGCCACTGGTTGACACCTTTGTATTTAATTATAATTGAAGACTTTCAGTTATCTTACATGCAACCTCATTCTCGAGTACGCTTTTCCGAACTTATAATCAGTTGTGCTTTCAAGCCCTAGTTGCAAAGCATTCAAGTAAACACACCCCAGTAAGTAGGTAACGCATAATTCTGAAAAACAATAAGCTCTAAGATAAACCATACAAGCAATAATTATGCAATTTAATTCTAAAGCTGGTGACATTCATCCCGTATATCTTCACGAAGTCAAATGTTTACGTAACATAATGAACGTGTTAGTTAATTAGAATTTCACTTGGAAGCTCGTACATACAGCAACAACCACTGTGGTGTAAAACAAGCAGGAAGTCCGTGGATTACCAAGTAGAATCCGCTGACTTCATAAACATGGCACCAGCCAGAAGTTGTACTTTACGAACACAAGCCTCTTGCGGCTGAAAGTACAATCAACCGCACAATTAATTTTATTTTTGTTCTTGTAGCACCGGCGTCATAATCGAGAAAGAGTCATTAAGCAAAAACAAAGAATTTTGCTGGATTGTTCGAGGAAGTAAACTCGATACGGTGACATTTCAGAACAAGTTTATTTTTAGACTAGTAATCACTTTACCATCAAATAAAACATGAGATCACTCTGCAAAAAAACCTAAATTTTGTCTTTAAAATTTAACGAGGAAACAAAAAATGAAATTTAGCGAAGCACAGTTGTTATTAACTTATTAATGACATTTCAAATAAATGAACAACTTCGAAAAGAGTAGAGTATATTTTTTTAGAGTTGGGCAACAAAAGTAATTTATTATTCGTACATTTGTCTAAAATAATATTAAGTTTTAAAACAAGTTTGTAACTTGGTTCTGAGCCGTCATTTCGTATGAATGTAACTCTGTGATGCTTCAACTATCCCCATGAATAATATGTATATAACCTAATCACAATTCTTCTGTGAATATCAGAAATGAAATAAAAAGTCGGTTGCTTTACTTATAATAGGCAGTTTACTTACCCAATGTCTGGTAAGTATTGGACTCTGTAAAAAAATAATAAAGAAGAAAAACGTAAATTAAAACTTTTAACAACTTTGTTTAAAATTAATGACGCTTTCTAAATTATTCCACAACAATATTTTATGCTTAAATGATTTTTAATATGATTACATTTTTACTTCCCGAGTGTAAGCTAATAAAAATTAAAAATTGAAAACTCGAGAAATGTTAAATAGAAATAGAATAAACTGAAAAAATTAAAATTGGACAAGCAAAAAATATAAAATCGAAACGCTAGAAAATCGAATAATTGAAACAATAAAGAAAATAAAAAACCGGAACGAACAATTGAATAATTAAAAATTGTAAACTCGAAAAACTTTATTTGAAAATCACAAAATTTAAAAATTAAAATAATCAAAAATTGGAAAATTGAAAAACTGAAAAATTTATACTAAAAAATTCGAAAAAATGCAAATCGAAAAAATGAAGAAAAAAATCAAGTCAAAAAAGCTGCGGGAGTGTAATTTACGCCACTGGTTTTTACTTTATAGAGGTTATCAGAAAACCAAAATCTCAAACAATCTTTACTTCCCGACCGTCAGCTAAGGAAGTACATAGTAATCGAGTCCATCGGCCGAATTGCCACTTTTATGTTTGAAATGACCTCTAGAGTACCAAAAAAGTGATCTCCCGTTTCCGTCTGTCTGTCTGTCTGGTGTCGTTATCCATTTTTATTAGACAAGTAATCTACCGATTGTTGTCACATTTTGTATGTATATTAGTAATATCATGTAGATTATATAATCTGGCTAATCATCCCCACCACCAATGACGTCATCTCCAAAATTTGTAATAAAAAGTTTTTTAAATTTCATAAAATAAGATACTTCTGCAGTTATGGTGTGTGAATCCGTGTCGAATTTTCACCATAGACATCCAGAAAAATATTCAAAACTGAATAACATTATTTTGCAATATAAGTTTGGAATTGCAAAACCGATTGCTCTGAAATCTTGTAAATATTTTAAGGTTATCGTAAACATGGTAAACGTGCTAAAATAAGACTGATTTTGGCAAATGATAAGTACATGTTCCAAGAAAGAAGGGCGGGTGGGCGGGGCTAGTACTTGCTACGATAAGACTGATTTAGGCAAATGCTAGGTATATGCTCTAAGAAAGAAGGTCAGGTGGGCGAGCCTAGTACCTGCTAAGATAGTACCCTCTAAGAAAATATAAGGTGAGTGGGTGGATCTAGTATTTGCTAAGATAAGACTATTTTAGGCAAATCAAGTACCCTCTAAGGAAATAGGCGGGCGGACGGGGCTAGTACCTGCTAAGGTAATACTGATTTAGGCAATTCACATATCTTCTAAGAAAATAGAGGGTTGGTGGGCGGGGCTAGCACCTGCTAAGATAACACTGATTTTAGCAAATGACATATTCTCTAAGAAATTAGAGGACGGGTGGGCGGGGCTAGTACCTGCTGATTTTAGCGAATCAAATACCTTCTAAGAAAATAGATGGCGAATGGACAGCGCTAGTACCTGTTAAGATAAGAGTAATTTTGGCATCCTATCCAACATATGCAAGTTATGATGAGTCTAAACTTGCGATTTACCATTGCATTAAAAGTCTTTAAATTTCTTATACAGGGTGACTCATAAAAATTAAGGAATGACTCAATTATTAATTAAATCGGGAACGGTTCACTCCGGTGTCTCAAAATACAATACTGTTATCATATACATAAAATATAATAAGTGGTCTAATTTTTTCCGACAAAATTTGTGAGACAAATTACCGAGTAGCTGTTGCGACGATTTTATAAAGCAACAGCTACTAGTTAATTTGTCGAACAAATTTTGAAGAAAAAATCAGTCCACGAATTATAAATATTCAGCATGACAATCCAACAAGAAAATTTTTATTCGCGTGTGAAGTATGAACAGAGAATTAGTTGGTGTCCAGCGCTTAACTATGTCTACCCAGCAGTCTAGCAACAAAACGACAACGCAGAAAATAAACAATAAAATCACATCGATCTTTATTTGTGCTTTTGGTGGTTAAATTTAATGATAGGTAGATAGGTATAAGTGGAAGATTTGGAAATAAAACGGTAGTTGAAATACACAATGCAGCACAAGAAACCCAATGCAAATATACGGGCAGAACACAAGATTCTATTTGTAAGTAATTTGACATAAATTTTTTGCTGAAAATTTTTTTAATGAATCCCATTGGCTGAATTTGAAACTATATCGTCATGTCACTGGTTAAAAATTTGCCCGTTGGATTGTCATTATCATTACACAAAGTGATATACATATCTTTGCAAACATGTTGATGACGTCATCACAAAATTTTGTTAAAGGAAAAGTCATTTGCTACGTACATACATACATACTTTTATTTTAACTTATAAGGGTTCTCATAAAAATATAAAATTCGCATAAATAAATTGTCTAGTTTTTCGAAAAACCTGGATTTGTCTTATTGTATTTCAGGGGCGAGGGAAGTTCTGTCGAAATAACCTTCAACCACGTTTTTAATGATACGTATTTAAAATACCATCAATAAATATAACATCAAGTATTTCAAGTATTTCAAGATGTACTTAGTTGCAATGTTTCCGTGCTCTAACTGAATTTCAATTTTTTTTTCTGGTAATAAAAGTATGCAAACAATGATCAATATGCGTCGAGCTAATACCGTTATTGTGTCATTATTTTTGTTAATGTTTATTTAATATTTGTTTGAAATGTTATAGGTACTTCCAAATTTTTGATAGTTTTTCAAAATATAATTTGCAAACACAGTTTATCACTTAAATAACTATTGTGTCGCACAAGTTAAATATTGAATTTATTTTTTAAATGTAGAACACGTGACGTGGCGTTTGACCCACCTGATGCTTTTTATAAAATCTCGTTATTGAATTTTTTATTACATTTATTTAGGGTGTTTACCGTTTGAAGGGAATTGAGGTATTATTCTATAAATATTATTTTTGTAGTAAACCAACTTCAAAACTATTTTTTTACTTTGCTTTGAGTAATAATTACATTAAATACTCGCATAAATTATATGTTTCTAGTATTCCTAGAAGTTATCATTGTTTTATCATTAATATAATGCATACCCCATTTTAATGAAAAATAAACTTTGTATGCTTTTTTCCATTTAGAAAACAATTAACAACTGCAGTCAAGCAAACAATCTTTCAGTGTTATTGTTATTATTAAATGTCGAGCAATTAGATACTGGATAGATATAAAAAAATATAAAAACCGATATAACACCACCGACGTTTTGTCGAACAAACACCATATACTCAGTGGATGTAGATAAAGTCACAACTGACGTTAACATATTTATTGCTAAAATATAGCCCCGTAAGCAAGCGTTCGATAATAATACGAACATTTTTATATCGCATTTTGTTTACCATATATTTTCTTCAACTCGAGGCTGAATCTAAATTAGAAGTTAAAAAATTATATTAGGTTAAGATATGTCTTATTTCTGACTTTTTCATTTCAAAGGTTTTATATAGCGTTATTAAAACAATACAATTCCTATTAAAAAAGACGTGTGTCGCTGTTGTTTTTATTACTATTACCATTATCGTTTTCCTAGAATTTTCAAAGAAAGTTTTCTGTGTCTCTTTCTCTGCAAAGATGTGGAATGACACCCCCGAGGTCAGTGTCGGCGGCTATTACCATTACCTTATGCGTAGTTCATTTAATTTCTGTTTCAAAGCTCATTAAACTTTATTCTGTTGCAGGTTCGACTGCGGCTCCGGCGTTGGAGTCGTGCGATCAGAAGAAACAGTTTTGCTCAACCAGTGGAATCACATCACCCTGTACAGACACAGGTGGGACGCGTGGCTGCAACTAAACGGGGGCAAACACGTTCAGGGTCGCTCCAAAGGCCTATTCTCTCGAATTACCTTCAGAGAGCCCTTGTTTATAGGCGGCGCAGGGAACACCACAGGCTTGTCGGAAAAGTTACCAGTGGCAGTTGGTTTGAAGGGGTGCATTCGGCACTTGGAAGTTAATGACCATGTTTACAAATTCGCTCTCGAACCACACGGGGAGGCTTCCAAAGGATACGGCATTGGTAATGTTTACTTTATGAATATAATATGAAGGTAGAGCCGAATCACCATGCCGAAAAAATTCGTGAATTATTACCATTTTAAGCGAGAAATCCTTTTTATTACAGTAAATTTATGCTGACCTTGCGTTTGAAACATATTTTTCAAGTTTAGATGTTAACATCTTCTTAAAGTTTCTACATTTTTTTGTGGAAAAAAGTGATATCACACATCTGTTTTCCTGCTGGAACTGTTTCTGTTTCGAAGTTGTTTTCGTTAACGTGGTCAACAAAAATTGCAAATACGCCGTACGCCAGACCACTAGTTAAATTGTGTCGCTGACATTTTTGTATAAAATTTTATGGCATAAAGGAAGAAAATTAAGGCTTTGAGAATATTTTGAATCTAGTTTAATTAACTGATCCAGAAGCAGAGGGTAAAAGTTGTTGCAAATTCAACCAGTTCTTTAAATCATAAGCATCTGCCAGCAGTTTAATTAGGCCTAAATTTTACTAAGTTTCACAATTTTTTGTTTCATTTTTGCTCGCTCAAAACTACATCATATCAAGTTCACACAAAAAAAACTGTTATCAGAATCGTTCTTCATGTTTAACGGAGTTACTCAGTTTTCATAAATGTTAAAAAAACGTAATCGAGTTAAAATAATTTCGTATTTTTAGCCTCATTAAACTGTCTATTGATTTTACTTAGATTTCAACCCGAAAATTTTAACATTATCGAATTTTTATCAGATTGTATAATGTCGCAGAATTACGTTTTTGTATCCACACAAAGTACGTCTTTTACATTATTTGATAAATTAGCTCATTTAGAAGATTTGTTAATGATGGCCCCAAAAATTAAATATTGAATATCATAATGCTGTGATTAAAAAATAATTATCCTTCACAAAATTTAATAGAATGTTTCAGGAAAATGTCTAGTGGACACTGCATATTATTTTAATAATAACTAAAGCTATTTTTTAATGAATTTATTAATAAAATACAATAATTTATGTAGTTCTACAAACTGTTGTTTAAATCAACTGGATTTTCAAATATGGTGTGTTCAAATGTTACGACCTACCATATTGTGGTTGATGTAGCGAATTTAGAAGAAAGAAATATCACATCTATTACCAGAATATTCGGCTGAAGCCGGTGGAGACAAATCAACCAATCAACCGAAGTCTAACAGTCAGAAATAAATAACACAATAAACGAATTGGTTTTAAGCGTAGACCCAATGCTATATAAGGATTCAATAGTCCACATAATATCATCATTGTCTGAATTATTTATCGATTCAGTATAATAACGGTACATAATTTGATTCTATGCGAGAAGAATGACCCGAACCTAAAATTTATTTCCAAAATACTATTTTTTAGGTATATGTAGGAAAGAAAACATTCTCTAAAACCTTCATTATAGCTACATTAACTTTTCAGGCTATGATAACTATTTGTGAGTTATACAACTACTAGAAAATACAATTAAATCCAGATTGACCACACTTCATTTAAATATTAAATTAGGTTTCTCTTGCCACACACTAAAAGCTCTTAATTTATCGGATTTTGCACAATGTTGAAATAATTAAATTATGAAAAGCAGTGATGATCTTTTTCTCACCAGTAAAATATTTGAATATTTGATATTTGGTCGGTTGAAATAAAATTATACCATTATTCCCTTAACAAAAAGCTCCTGTTATAATATTTCCTTGTGCTTGATCTGACAATGGGAGATAGAAAACTGTGTAAGTCTGCCTAATACACCACATCTCGAAGAAATTAGCATAAACTTGACAATTTATTTTTTGGAGGTATCATCACTGGCAATTTATAAAATTTTTAGTCGGTTTTCTATATTAATAATTGGAATAGTAGTAGTGGCAATAACAACATCCGAACAACCGTTGACAATGGTTGTGCTTAGGTTGGCGTATACAGTGAGGACACTAGAACCAGGAACTAACCTGTTCTAACAGAAGCATTCCGAATCCACAGACATTTATAGGGAACGAAGATAATGGTGATGCTCCATTCTGCTGGAGATACACAGAACAGGGTGCACAATCAGTCCGATGTAGGCATCAAACTTTATAGATTACATCCATCACAATGCATTCCATTGCTGAAACGGGTAACTGGTGCATGGAGTGAACTAAGAAGTATTGGTTTCTTCTAATGGACCAGTGGTTTAAGTTTGACAGAAATTATTGTTGTTTGCAAAAATTAACACATATGGAAACCTCACGTTTTAAAACGGGACAACATTATCGACTTATGTTTGCTTTCCTACTTCGTTTAAATCTCCTGATTGTACGCCGTTGCGTAAAATATAAAATCGTTACTCGTACAAGAAATAAAGTTTAACATGAAACAAGGAATGTATCAGGAAACAAAAAAACAAACTGCTCCTCTTAGCTAGTCATCTCATAAGAACAGTCTCTCGTTACTGTAAGTAGCTTGTGATAATTTTTCGTCTTTGGCGATTTGCCGTTATTTTAAATTTTCTGGGGTGGGAAAGACAGCATATGGACACAATAGAATCATCTCCTGTTCAAAACGGCATTTGAATAAATTTGAATCTATCCTCAGACGAACTATTTATTGGTATATTTTCGCAGGAGCTGCAAATGAAATAAAGAACATCCCATTCGATTCATGAAAGCATGTGCATTTCGCTAAAAACACTCAGTGTTTTACATCCCATTTCTTTTCCAGGAGCAACGTCCCATTACTTCAAAACATGATAATTAAATGTACACAAACTTTAAAGTATCGTCGTTTCTTTAAGCCTTTAGTATCCTTAATCGCGACACAATGTCGGTTTTAATGAAAAGTCAACAACATTTTTGTTGTTTCGTAACGTTCTGAAAAAATGAGGTACAACAAAATAAGTTCTGTGGTGTTCTGCATATTAATCGGATCGGCTGCTGGGCGTATGTGTGTCGTAGGAATTTTCTGCATTCCTACGTCTTGTAAGTTGCTCAGAAGATTTTTTAGTATCTCACAAGTATCACATTTACTTGGCAGTGTTGTATGGAATATTTATGCGTTAATTTGCCGGGATTATTTGAAGGCAGGAACTACATACAAGTATTCAAAGAAGTATAATTTACTTATAATATATACTGCAGGTAAAAGATGAAATCAAAAAATAGTCAAAAATATCTAAATTGTGTTTGTAGATTGCTGCTGTAATCACAGACGAATGACATCAAAGAACGTCATTCCTGTTACTCTAGTATGACTATGTTAACGAAAACGATTATACTTACAATAATAATCAGATACGGCACACAAACTACGTTTTGTGTTAAAAATGCTCGGAAATCATCATTCAATATCATAATATTATTTATGTTATTGAATTCGAATTTATTCAACTGTAAGATCAGTTAAATTTGTAAAATGAATCGATTATTGATGAACCAATAAACTTATCATTTATTTAAAATCTTTACATTAAAATGCAATTTGACGTTACAATTCAAATTAAACAAGTTAATGTGAAATAAATTACAACGAAATTTATCAATAAATATTCCAATAAAATCTAAAGGACACAAACAAAATATGTGAATATATTTCGTTTGTTATTTTAGATGTTTTGACTTCAATAGTACTGTTGCAGCTGAGAAATAAGAGAACTAATTTTTCTTTAAAACTAGTCTAAACTAGAAGTAAAATTTTGACTTTGGATGGACCTGAATTTTTTACATCAGAGCGTATTTTTCTTTGAAGATTAGTTGTTTTTTTTTTAATGACATCATCAACTCTGTGTAATCATTAGATTATTTATTGTATTTCCAAAATTTCAGGATTTGGTTAGATGAATATTTTATACGTCGATGTATACATTTTTTAATGTGTTTTATGGAACTGGTCGTAAAAATTATGAGACTTCAAAATTTATCTGAAAACTTCACAACAGACTTTTGGAAACAACACTATTTTGAGATTATAGGTGTTTCTGAAACACTATTAAATAAATAGCTATTATAGGAAAGTATTTTAAGTTTTTCAATCAGGGTTCCTTTAAAAGCATTTTTTTTTTTATTTTAATAAGTATTTAATTTTAAAAATTATCAAATTTCTTACTTCTGGTCGTGAATAAATTTTTTATTTGTCCAGTGTATTTTTGGTTATGCTCGTGACCACTGATTTCACAAATTCTCCTCCCTATTTTTTCTTCAAGCTGTCGAGAAGGTTTGTAACTTTAACCCAAAATTGTAAACTACTTTTGTACTACCCATTTGATATCTTAAAATACAAATAAGCTAATAGTAACACCACTAAATCGTTAAACCTGGCTCCAGTTTTAATGATGGTGACTAAGTTCAGCGCTCCTGTTTTCATTCAGACGAAAAGTAGGGAGCCTGTTGATCATAAAGTTGAGGCTTGCCATCTTGTACTAGGGGAAAATAATTAAACTTGGCAGTGATTTAATAAAATGTACTGGATACAGCAAATTGTTAGTTCTAATAATGACAAACTGTCTCAAAACGATTGTTTTTCCTTGTGTTCTTCTTCCAATAGAACACTGATTTTGTTAAATTAAGTGCTTAAATCGTCTACACACTCTTAAATATTGGATTATAACGTGCCTCTCAAAAATATGCTGGGAAATGTGCTAAAATTTTGCTTTGTTAAAAATCGTGTTAATTAAACAGAGTGAATTGGATTAGGAGATTATTAACGTCCTGACTCAAAGCGTCACATTTTAAATTTAAGGTAAGTAGGTATGAAGTTGGCTTCTATTGTAAAACTTTCTCGATACTAATTTTCACTAGAGCAGAGGATGTTCGGGTGCTTGTATACTTTTGAATTTGTTCATGAAAATCTAAATGAAGTCAAATTATCGTTCAAACTTTTTTGCCACCAATGCAAAGAATTCATCTTAGGTATCTTTATCCCGACGATGTCTCTCTATTAGCTTTTATAGATTCTCCATTCGACTCACATATCCTCTAAACTCTTTTTATCCAATCTAAATCGTTTCCCCCAAGTATCATCTGAACAACCCTTCGTTATTCATTTATAATTCTCGTTCAATTTTTAAAATCTAACATATGTGCTGAGTAAGGATTACCGCAAACAGTTGAATTTTAACATCAGCGACTGAAGTAAAATTCATTTTGTCAACTGAGGAAAAAATTATGATGGAGAGGAAATTGATCGTGGTGCTGAACATAAGCACTTGAAGAGGGTCACCCTCTGGAACATGTCTCCAATAATTTGAATGGAAATTGGCCGGGTTTCCCTTTGCGTGTGTATGAAGTATTTTCCATATTATCGACATAATATCATTATGTAGATTTATTCGTATAAAAGGTCTACACTTAATGCATATCTGAATATAAAAAAGCGTCGATACGGCACTGCATTTTAAATGAAACTTACGGAGTTACGACACTTACCTTTATGACACCAGCGCGCAGGCTTTGATGCCACGACTTTATGACATCATTTTTCATATTTGCATTTATTAAGTCTTTATTGATTATTTTAGCCGAAGCACGAGTGGAGATTTTAATGGCAAAATAATTGTTTGTTCGGTGTAATGAACTATAAATTAAAGGGAATAAAGCCGGATAACTGTAATGCAGTTCCCACGCTTACTTTACACGAACGCCGAAAGCTCGCTTCTAGCGCTGGTGCTTATAATCCTCTGAACGATTTATAACCATTGATCAATCTGGATAAGACGGTCAAACCACATTCGCACCATTAAAATTTAGACTGCTATCCTCAGCTGTCACAATCAACGTTACTCTGATGAATCAAATGATTTACAACTCAGAGTCCCTAAATTAGAACATCAAACTGAGGTTTAACAACCAATTAAGAGAAATAAGCAGCTGAAAGCTCGTTGACACAATTACGCAAGAGCGATTTCGTGCATATCTAAAAGAAGATTACAGTTTGTACTGATTACAGAGTAAACTAAAACTACACAGGAGGTAAGAAATCAATAGCAATGGCGTTGCACCGAACGTTCCTCTCCTCAAAGGCACAACAGGGACACACTGATCTATTTTTTTTTTTAAGTTGTGTATATAATGAACGAATTTCAGTGGAATTAAGTAAACAACAGCGCTACTAATCATTATTAAACCGTGGATAAAAAACCTGTTTAGACGGGTAGGCAAATTTTGGATTTTCACCTATAAATCACATACCTTAATTAAATCATCTTAATTAATATAACAGGTTGTTAATCCCTCTAATACTGAACCTCGACTCAATTTTAAAAGTAGCAAAAAACTCCTTCGTTTCCATCATATAGCAGGCACAGTATCCACAAAATTGCTCTTCCTAAAATTTTAATCTTCAAATTACTAAAACACACAAAATTATGTGTGTATCGTAACAAAGCTTTCAGCATCCTGACCCATATGTGAGAGGCATTAAAAATGGATCAAAGACTTTTTTATTATGCCTTTGGTTAGCGTGAACCATTTTTAACTCTAACACTATATATTTTAGTTAAGAGCATGTGTGAATTTTTAACTCGAGCTTTACATGCATATTGATTTTCAGGGCCGTTACATTATGGGAAAGTAATTTTACACAAAAGGTTTTCAACCAAACACACTGACTTTTGTAATTACATGGTTTCGAAACTTTCTATATTTCCAAAACTTTACGTTAGTTATATGAAGTCCCATTTATCATCGTAAAAAAATTAAGAGTTATCATATGACATGAAACTTAATAAAAGCAAAAGTTGTTGGCCATAAATCACAAACTACAGAAAGTTTGAAGCAATTATTTTAATAACAGGATAAAAAAGAACATTCTGACTTTTATAACGCGGTTACTGTGGACGATAATGTTTCGCTTTATAAAATTACTCGGCGTAAAATATGCATAGAACCACATACTTTAATTCAGTGTTTTAAAAACTCTCAAACTTTTTGTACTTTATATTCATTTAGTATGCGCCAAGGTCTAAATAGTTACTTCCGAGTAATTTTTATACTTCTTATTAAAATCGTATCTGTTACATTACCCTAATTTTAGCTGTGAAAAAATCCCAAAGTATCGCTTTCACCATCCTTCTCAATTTCTCAAGTTTTTATTAAAAACTCGCGCACACACACACCAAGGTTGGATAATTTTTGTTTCCCGAGCCTAAACTAGGGAAATATTTTATAAGATTGTTTTGATGAATGTCGTCTAATTCCATATATTCTCAAAGGTTCGCAGCTTGTACAATACGAAAATGTAGGGTTCTCGTTTTCATCTATTTGATCAATAATCATATAATTTTTAACCAGATACCACAACAATTCATTCATCGTCATATTTCCTTTAACAGCTTCGCCTATTGTAAGCACTAACATGTGTCATAATTTCAGAAAGTATTGCATTTTTTACCATAACTGAAAACTTCTTAAAAACCAGATGCCGCATGATCAATACGCACCAAATGCAAATTTCTCGAAAATTTTGTATTGATTTATGGAGAATACGACTAACTTTATTCATTGACTGATAAAGCTTGAAGCCACCATAATGTCTCAGAAAGGAAATGGCATATAAAACAATGCAAATATAGTGATTCCCCTTCAACAAAAGGTATAATCAGTTTTATCCCACGAAAGTGTCGCATAATTCAGTTGGAAATGTAGTGTGCAAAATTACTCAAACAATGTGTGATTTTTGTTAACATTAAAAACGTTGGCCTGGTTAACGATTTTTTACCAATATTAAGCTAAACAAAGAACCTTTTGAGGATGAGACTTCAGGATATAATACAGGCATTAGAGCGTTTCGAAGCAAATTACATTTAAATTCAGGAGGACTACATTAATAATAACAGAAATTCCAAAAAGAGAAATCCAGTCTTTCATTACAAGAAGTCCGCAAATTTTTCAAATTACGGTTGTATAAATTTCATCAATGTGTTTTCATTTTCTACTGTTAGAAAAAATGTAATACCGGGACTGCGAATTTTTTTTTAATGTATATAATCTCCACATCTTTTAAATGTCTGGCACAACAAATCCTACCACACCTGAAGCTTGAAAAACCCTTTAATGAGCGTCCTCTTTTGTCTTCAAATTTATCTTATCAACAGTTTTATGCAAAATAAAGCAGTGAACAACGTAGCACCTGGCATAAAATTAAAGAGAAATGTTAAAAATCCAGTCGAGTACAGCTCAGAAAACCGCCCCATTTAGCTATCACGTTTTCACTGGTTGTCGCAACAAATCTTTTACAAACTGTTTTACAAGACTAACGATTTTTTAATTTATATGATTTATGAAGGAACTTTCGCTTTTGACCCATAAATTCTAAAATGAACAATAGCGCCTTCCAAAAGCGAGCATATTGGAAGGTATAAACATTCATACTTTGTTTGTTCTATTTTTACAGAGGAGTGCACTGCTGACCGTTGTAGCCGCGTTCCGTGTCAACACGGAGGCAAATGTTTGACCAGTGAAGATTCAGCTGTTTGTTTATGTCCCTTGGGATTTTCTGGCGACTTGTGTGAGATTCGCGTCGACCTCCAAGTTCCGTCTTTCAACGGATCGAGTCATTTGAGGTATAGAGGATTGGGTGAAGAAGCCCTAACATGGCTAGACTTCGAGATTACTCTAAAACCGACGGCATCGAACGGTCTGATATTGTATAACGGTCATCGAGGTGACGGTTTGGGCGATTTCATGGCGCTGTATTTGTATGACGGATACATAGAATTCGCTTACGATCTGGGAACCGGAGCCGGGATTGTTACTAGCCAACACAGGATCAGCCTAGGGGAATGGCATCAGGTAAGTTGAAAGCAACAAGTGAATTAAAAGAATGGTTTTATACGATCGTCTAAAACTAGAGCTTTTAATGGAGCTTTGTCGAATTAAAAGTCCCTAATTGCAGTTTGATTCGTGCAAATAATGCATTTTTTCAGAATAATTTAACTACCAAGCTCCATTTAGAATTAAACAACGTGATGTTAAACCACTTTTCACGCAATTTATTTTATTGATTATAGCTTTAGAAAGGATAAAAAAACTTAAAAAAACAACACCCAACCACCATGCAATTTTTGTGTACACAAAAAAAATGCCATCAACTTTATACACACTAATTTTTAACAACGGGGCAAATCAACGATTCTACGACAACTGGTCGCAAACAACTGATCGCGCGACAATTGATCGCAAACAATTCGTCGCAGCACAACTGGTCGCACGCGACAATTGATAGCGGCGACGATTGATCGCAGCGACAATTGATCGCACGTAAATTGATCGCCGCGACAATAGATCGCACGTAAATTTATCGCAGCGTCAATTGATCGCAAGGTAAAATTCATCGGGAAGTATTTTCATTTATTAAAACTAAATATTTTGTATTCTGAATTTTAAGTTGCAATAAATTTAGCAATCAGGTAAGGTGTAAATATCGAATTAAAAACAATTTGAATATAGATAAATGACGAAGTTTGTAGTTGCACTTTAAAAATTAAAAAATACGAGCCTAAACACCTTGTTATTATACATAAGATTTTTTATTCATAAATTGTCATTTTGGTTATTTTTTTTAAGAGATTGTTACTATTTATGTCGTTGCTTATTTTACCTATTATATTATAGGAACTAGCTTCATTATAATAAGTCCTCAACATATTTAAAAACAAGTGTTTATTGTTCTTAACTAGATTTATTATACAATTATTTAAAAAATCATATTTTTAACAACCTTTAAATTTTAACACATTTTGATACAGAATTGCCTCTATTGTCTATTCTTGTCTTTATACATATCACCAAACAATAAAATTTATGAACTAATAGTACACCTAGAGTATCCATATGCAGCGAATGTAAATTCCACTGGACGGATATAATACTTATTTTAATCCCTTGTAAATTGCAACGGATCGTTTACAGGGTTTGAGAAAGGTTTACGTGTATTGTAAATATATATTGCAAAAACTTTTGTTAGAGCGTCAAGAATAATTTTGTGTTACCGGGAAATCTAAGAAATGTGGGTACTTACGCAACGAAAAACTTACTTTTTAATTATTATTATGTGACTAGTATTGTACTGAAGAAAAATTCTGTTGTACCATATGTGGGTGTAAAAAATACATATACAGGGTTAGTCACGAGAAAATTACTTCTGAAAATTATTTTTACGCTACCCAAAATACGAACACCCTAACTGAATTTAAAATGAAATGCTTAATCCATGATTGCTTTGAGTTTGGCAATGTCATTTTGACAATTCTGGAAAAGGAGGTTACGCGAGTGTCCATGGTGGTTGTATGTATGTACCGCAGCCAGTTGAAGATCTCCGCTAGCGCCGCTAATAAGTTTATCAGGGCTTGCTTCGAGTGCCTCTTGATCTTTTGCAACCGATTAATTACCAGAAAATTATTTCTAAAAATTCCTTTTGCGATAGATATTTCTGTGACGTGTAAAACAGCTCTTAGATCTAAAAAAAAAAGAAGAAATAATTGGTTGGCAGTTTTCCATGAATGACCCTACTACGGGCTGCTACCTGATTTTATTATTCTCTGCACTTTGCATCCTAGAAAAATTTACAACATGGGCTGGGGAAGCCCACCTACATCCGGCAGATTAGGCAAATAATTCTGAGTGAATAGTCGTCCTTTCGAGTGAAATGCCCCTCAATAAACTTTTCAAACTTCCCAAGCTAAAAATTAGTCACGCCATTGCGAATAACCAGTACTCAGTGGCGTCGTCATCCTGGTCGTTTCTACTTTTTAACGGTTTTCACTGTTTGTATTACTTGTTACTCGTGATGTATTGATTGATTTAAATATTTTAAATAATATTAATTAATAGAGAAGAATATAAATCTGTTATGTGCGTTGTTTTATTCAACAATTTTTATTCCATGAGCAGCTTCAAAAAAAAAAAAACTGTACGTCACTGTCATCAGCAGTCTTATCTGGGTAATGAGGGGTACTGTTTATGACACTTTACCGGTTTGGCTCGAAACCATCATTTTAAGTCTGGCACTTCCTCCAGTATGAGTATATTCTTTTCTCCATGGTCAAAACTAATCTTTTTACGATCTTGTTTACACAAATGGCGTAAAAGTGGAGATTGGTATGTAGGTATTTAGCAAAGGGAATGAGATAAATTATTCATTCTTTCGTATCTACAAGCGCCTCATTAACAGTGTGAGCGTTCAAAAAAGGTCTGAATGAAAAAACATCTTTGGTTTTATCATGGATTAAAGATAATCCAGAACTAATTTGTAGTGACCAAAAAATTGTCTGCAAAGAATGCAGTAAACTCCAAGATTAATTGTTAATATATAAATTCAAATTTCTTTGTACCAAATTTATTAAAAAAAATATATATTTGATTTTTTAAACTATCAAACGTAATGAAAATAATACTTTTTCACTTAAAACTGTAACGAGAGTTTTTTCACGATTTCATTGATTATGATAAATCTATAACTTTTTAATTCGACAGTTGTAATAATTTTAAAACCATTTTTTATTAAAAAAAATGACGTGTGCAATACGTTTTAAATGCTATTTTTTTCACTCGTTTAATTGACAAACTTTAAACTTGTGAGAAAAAAAGCTTGAATCACTTACTCGAGTGTCTAATCAATAAGATGAGTAATCCAAATGAACATTACAGTAGCATACCGACGAGATATGTCAGCATTAAAAAAAATATTTTATAATATTTTCACTTTTTTGCACTATGGTTTAGTCGGAAATGAGCCTAATAGTTACTGTTTTTATGGAACTCGTATGTATTTATTTTGACACTTTTTTAGAAATAATAAAATTTTTGAGAATATAGCACTTTATTTTATTTTCCGCATTCATAACAATTACTTATTTTCTCTATAAACGCTATGATTTTTCGCCTGCGATCAATTGTCGCATGCGACCAGTTGTACTTGCGACGAATTGTGTTGCGATGAATTGTGACTGCGACCAGTTGTCGCTGCGACCAATTGACGCTGCGATCAGTTGTTTGCGATCAATTGTCGCGCGACGAATTGTGCGCGACGAATTGACGCGGTACCAAATCAACATTACACGGTTAGGTTTAAATGGATAAGATTTAAAAAATACTAATCAGAAGAAGTTTTGAAATAACAATATAAATTTTGAGCAAAATTTTACAATGACATCATGGGATTCTTGGTGAGGATAAGCAATAAAGTTGGTTAGAGTTTTACCATTTATATAACAGACTCAAAATACACCCAAAAATTCACAGTTTATAGTTTCGGAAAATATTTGTCTAACAATTCGCCAACAAAGAGACGGAAACAGGAAATCGACATTTTCGTACTCCATAAACTGGGGAACGTCCAGAAAACAAGAACTGAAAGTTTAATCAAAATAACCCTGATACACTATGTTTGGAAATTAACGACATCCTAAAGATGCAATGAATAATAAACGTAAGAACGATCCGTTCTTAACATTGATAAAAATAAAAGAACTGAAGAAATAGGGCACAATATATCGAATAATAAATCGATATATAAAGATTAATAGTAACACTTACCCTTTAAATCCTGCTTTCCTTTCCTTCCGCGCCGATTCTTGCAAACTCCTTCCTCATGGACACAACACAACACCCACCTTTCACTTAAACCCCAAAACAAAATTATTTTTAACAAAAATTAACCAGTTAAACAAACTAATTGACACAACACCGCACACGCACTTAACAAAGTCAAAACCGACAGAGCTCTGTGGCGTAACACAAAAAATTGGTCTAAAGAGTTTAGACAGTACTTCCCTCGCTGTCGGAAATTTGACGACTGCATGCCTATTGTGTTTTTTTTCTCATTACATTTTTGAAGTGGGAATTTAAAAAAAAATTGCGATGACGTCATCAACATTTTTGCAAGGACACGTATATCAGTTGGATAGATGTAGTGTAATACTAAGAATAAAATTATTATATTCTCAAATTTTCGGGAAAATGAATTGGGTCGTTTTGAATATTGATTTGTAATAATCAATAAAATAACGAAACAATTTACTCACGTATACGTATCAGAGGCAACTGAAAATCGTGTATGTATAAACATTCTTAATTTAAGATGACAGGCGTAACAGCATACGTGAGAGTCAAACAGAGAAACTATAAACAAAACGACCATCGGTTTTATTGCTTCGACTTCCGCTTATTATATAAAACATTGGGTTTTATTTTAATTCTTGACGGTGAAATTCACAATTGGTTGATTATAAACATGTCTATTTCACATTCGCGGAACCAAGTGAGCGCATAAAACAAATGCAGGTCTGTAATGTTAAAGTCGATGTAAATAAGCGTGCTACCCTTATGTTTCAACTGAGTTTTTCCTTTAACAAATTTTGTGTCTACCAAATTGGGTTGGTTGGGGTGTAATACTAATAATAAGTGTTGCCTTTAATTTAATCAATAAAATAAATTGACTTCATTAATTTTTTTGAACCACCTCTTAAGAAAATCTAAAAAATATGAATGGAATGATAAATCACAAGTACAAACTCATCATATTTTTTGCATTTTAGATAGGATTTATTCAGCAAAATTTAAGGGTGACGTCATCAATTTTTTTAGGAGGGATGAACAAATACATTTTGAACAAAAGTTTACCATGCTTATAATAACTTTAAAATATTCCCAAGATTTCAAAGCATTCGGTTTTGTAATTCCTGATTAAATCGATAAAATAAATTCACGCATTCATTAATTTTTTTGAGTCACCCTGCATATGCAAATCCAAAAATATGAATGGAATGATAAATCACAAGTACAGACTCATC